GTGCGCAGCCAGCACATTGTTTTACGATGGTGTGCGTGTTTACATGTTTGCTTCCCTGTCGGACTTGGGAGCGCCTGAAAGCGAAGTGCTATTGCTCAGTGATCTTTGATTCTTCAGCTCCTGATACGTGGCCTGGCGCTCAGAGAGTGCTCCTTGTAAAGAAACCTCGTTACCATGGCGTCGCCGCCCTGGATGCCGGGGAGTCCCTCTGAGGAGCCGCTCTCCCGAGTCCTCTGTGTTCACACCTGTTCTGTGTGTGTCCTTTGCCTCTGTTACAGTGTGCTTTCTTTCCTGCTATCTGTGGGCCGGAGGCTTTGCAATGCCCCTTTGTAAAGAATTTCTTCGGTCGGTGGGGTCAGCTGGGGTGTGCATTTCCCTGCACGGGATGGTTTCAGCAGCTCACAGGGTGGGCGTCAGGAAGTGATTTTTCTGCTCAGCATTAGGTAGGAAGCACAGTTTGCAGAATCCTTGCTTACAGAAGGGATTTATGAGTTGACACATTTGCCCACAGATTAAGTCTGTCCCAAACTCAGCAAGTGTGAGTAATCAGGGAAAGTCACCTAACGTCAGTGTACTATGTAGACCAAAAAAGAAAGAAAAAGAGGAGAATGTCCCTAAGTATGGCAGTGGTCTTAACGTGTGTATTTAGATCTAGTGCTTTAGTTGTGTGTTTACATGATTCTTTTTTTAAAGTTTAGCTACGTGCTTTGGTTTCTGCCTTTATATCTTGTCTTCTCTTCATCCCTCCCTTTCTCCATTATAATGCATTTTTATGTCATGAATAACACATTTTTCCTTTAGTCAACATTTTATGTTTTCTTATTTTTCCAAATATTAAGTTACCCAACTTTATTCAAAATGAAACATATTTATTTGAAAAATTTTATAAGGAATTTTTAAAAAGCAGCTTCAAACTCTTCATTACATCTCTAGAGAAACACGCACGGGCACACACGTGCACACACACATGTGGACATGCACACATATGCCCACATGCACACAAACGTGCACACGTGTGCTCACACACAGGCACACACGTGCATGCACGCATATGCACACATGCATGCACACAGCGTGCACATGTGTGCTCACGAACATGCACATATGTGCACACACAGGCATATAGTGTGCACACATGTGCTCACAAACATGCACACACATGCATGCATGCACACACAATGTGCATACATGTGCTCACACACATGCACACACGCGGGCACACATGCACACACACACACATACAGAGCCACTGGAAGTCTGTTTCAAAACCCTAATCAGCAAGTTGCATTTATGCCTAAAAAATTAAATTATAGTTTTGCCTGGCAAGTGCTCAATTTCAGCCTTGGAAAAAGTTTGTGATACATCTCACAACAACAGCAACACTCCGATTCGTTGTAGACAGACTGTCCGTCCTGACTTGGCACCCCCCTGTCCCCCCTGCTGGTGTTGGAGTCGCTGCAGGACTTTCTCTGTTCACTCAGGTCGGGCAGCCAGCTAGCACCTGCCAGCCCCGCGAGGCCAGCGTGCTTCGGGGAGAGTTGGCACGCAGCTCGCACTGCTTTGAGGCCGTGGAATAGAGCTGCTCAGGACCAAGGTGTCCTGGCTAGAACTGAGCCCTGTGACACTTCATCACCGGGCCATGAGGGGCCGGAAGAAAGGCGGAGGCGCTGTCAGAGGCCCTCTGCTGGCAGGGGCTGGTGGTTTTTTAAAGGCAGCAAGTAAGGTAGTGCCAGGGGAGCTGGGACTGACTGTCTGATAATCCCTCTAATTGGGGCGGCCGCCCGCGGAGCGCTTGCAAGTTGGAAGTTCCGAGCACCACGTTCCTGTTCTGTTTTGGAAGTGATGCCCTTGTCTTAAAGAGCAGTTTTTGCCTGCAGCTAACAAGAATGATTACAAAGACCTGTTGATTTGGCCCCGAGTAACCCCGAGGAGAGTCAGTTGCAGGGAATTAATTTTTGACTGTTTCTTTAAAGTTTGTGAGAAACTTTGGGAGTCACCTGGGGGCCTCAGGAGGGACAGTCTGTCTCTGAGCAGGGCAGCTCTGTTCCAGTTATGGGTTCCATGAGATAACGGTGTTGTGGGCTTAAATTGTCGGTTACTGTTACATAGTACCTTTTGCATTTCTACATTTATGGATTTTTTGTTTTCCTTTAAAATGTTTCTAAGTCTTTTAAAGACACACCCCGTGCCGTTCTTGCAGGGGTTTCCAGCAGGGCTTATTTTTGAAAGACGAGGGTGGGCAGGGCAGGGAGGAAGCCGGAGAGAAAGGCACTTGTTCCTCTCACGGGGGCTTCGTGGCACCGGTGTGGGGCAGGCCGCTGCGCTCGTTTGCAGGGAAGGCCTCCTGGAGGCTGGAAACTGTGTTCTCCCGGCTCTGGGCTGCCTGAGGGCGCTGTCCCGCTCCGGCTGGGCCGGGGGTGCAGGCTGTCACCAGGGACGGGCTTGCCGGCTCAGTGAGCAGCTAAGGAGGTGCGGGACCATGTTGGGGTGCAGGAGGGTGCACGGGGCTGGGATGCTGGGCCTGCTGCTGCCGCCAACCGGGGCTGGACAGGGCTGAGTTCCAGACGCAGGGTGACACTGGGTGGTGACAAGCACTCCTGGGGAGCGCTCTGGGCCTGGGGCCTGCAGGGTGGGAAGCTGCCTGGAGGCAGAGAGTGCAGACTGGGGGTGCGAGAAGGGGCCGTCGTCAGGTTCCCCTTGTGCCGGGATGTGGGTGGTGGGTGCCCTGAGCAGGGCTGGTGAGGGGCTCCAGTGGCCCTGGCTGCCTTGTGTGTTTCCCTGCCTGCTCCCAAGGGATGAGGGCTGGCCGGCTCCAGGGCTGCCGCTCTGTGGAAGGCGTCCGGCTCCGGTGGCTACAGAACACAAAGTCTGGGTGATTTGGGCCAGTCTGTGCACTTGAACAATTCACTTTAATTATTTCAGGGTGCACCTGTGGGCTGCCCTTACGGCCCACACGTGGTCCAGGGCTCCCACTCTGTGAATCTGCGCTGGCTTCTGGCCATTTGAGTTTCAAGGTCTTGACATTGGACATCCTTTATGGACAAACAGTATTGGCCTGATGGAGTCTGCAGGATTATTTCAGGGCCCCCAATGTCCAGGGTTGTAATTGGTTTTTCTTCTCTCTGTGAACTTATTTCTGTGTGGTTCTTTAAACTCGTAAGGTTTTTATACCAGATTCAGTCGCTAAGTTAAATAGTATGTTTCATTCATACTTTTATTTCAGATTCAACATTTTTGCTGAGGTTGGTGGGTGAAGTAAGGCCTGCGGAAAAAAGGGCTTCATGCGAATCATTCGCCTTATAAAACCATCATCATAAATGATGCACATCCTCCAACACTTGGTCCAAGACCAAAAAAGTTTGGCAGAATAGTTTAAGTTAGCTTACAGTCAGTTGCCATGAAGAGGTGTTCTTGGTAAGCTCATGCGTTTGTCCAGTTGTAAGGGAAGCTTTCATGGCAACTCTTTCCTGGAGTCGGGAATGTTCGGGCTCCCTTCTCTGCCCAGCCCTGTGTTGGCTCTGCTGGGGCGGCCGTGGTGAAGGGTTGAGGACCTCTGCGGGACAGCTTGCAGGCGTCTCCACCTGCGTGTCCCCAGCCCTGGTGTTGCCCGCCTTGTGCCGGACACAGGCACGTGGCCCAGCTCTGCCTGCCTGGCCTCGGCCTGTGTGCCTGGTGGGGGGGGGGCGCAGGCAGGGCCTGTCCCCGCTCTCTGCGGGGAGGATGGGCAGTGGCCGCGCAGTGTGATGGGTGCCTGCTGTCCTTGGGCTCGGGTACCAGCTTTGGGGGAGACCCGGTCTCGATAGGAGGGTGCCGTGGGTGTCTGCCCCGTGGGGACGTGGGGAGGCAGGAATGAGAGGCTGCACGGCTCTGGGGGACTCTGGGGTCTGGGATGGGCTCTGCATTGGCATTAGGACTCAGTCCTGGGGCCAGAGCCTGGGGTCCCTTCCCGGGAGAGGGGCAGGGGTTTCCAGGAGCAAACACACAGGGCCAGAAAGGGAAGGGAGGCTTTGTCTGTGGGACGGGGAGAGCGAGGCTGCCACGGGCTGACCCTGGCTGACCTGCAGCTGAGCTCGTGGTCACACGCGTTGAAGCGGTGCCAGGCAGGACAGCGTCCGCCACAGGGTCCCACAGCCCCGTTCAGGGGCTCGGCTGCCGTGTGCGGGCTGCTGTATGCATTTCTCCTTTCTTAACGGAAGACTCATTTCTTTAAACCTGATCATGTACAGTCACCAGTTGTGTCAAGGATGGGCCATGTATGTGAGTGACAGTGGTCCCATCAGAGCGTAATGCCTTGTTTTCACTGAACCTTTTCTTTTTTTTTTTTTTATTTCGGCATATTATGGGGGTACAAATTTTAAGGTTTCAAATAATGCCCTTTTCCCCTCTCCCCCCACAAGTCTGAGCTTCAAGCTTGACCATCCCCCAGACGGTGCACATCTCACTCATTATGTATGTATATACCCGCCCCCGCCCAATACCCAATTAATGTAGTTCCTGTGTGTTCGCTTAGGTGCTCTCCGAACCTTTTCTATGTTCAGATATGTTAGCTCCCGTGTGTTAAAACTGATGTTCCGTCATGTGCTGCACAGGCTTGTAGCGGTGGGCTGTGCCACACGGCCGGGTGTGTGGGAGTTGGCACCGCCTGGGCTAGGACTCCACCGCCTCGTCCCGCCCTCCTGCGGAGCGACCCTCCTCCCTGTCCCTCAAGGCCACTCAGACTCCCCCTGGACAGCCTGTGCTCCTCACACCTGCACAGACTCCGGCACCACGGTCTCTCCTTAACGATTTTAGTGCACAGTCATTTGCAATTGTTTTAATTAGCCAACGCCACAGTTCGTTATCGATAATTATTTGTTGCTGATTTTTTTTTTTTTTAAATAAGGCGAACAGCTACGTGTTCCTCTGTTTGCCCTGTGGTTGGTTTGGACGGGATCGGTGGTTTTACGCAATGCCGCGCGCGGGTGCGCAGCGGTGCTCACGAGCCTCCGTGTGTGTTTCAGGTGCCGGCCGCCCCTGCCGTGCTCTCCACGTGAACCAGCGCCCCTCGTAGCCGCGCGTCCTGGGGAAGCTGCGAGCTCTGCTGAGAATGGAGAGATAGGACGCCGTCGCGGCGCCCTGCCACACACAGCCGAGCCGCCACCCGCGTGCGCCGTGCCGCCCCTCGGATGGATCGCAGCAGGGAAGCCGAGATGGAGCTGAGGCGGGGCCCCAGCCCCACCAGGGCGGGCAGGGGCCACGAGGTGGACGGCGACAAGGCCTCATGCCACAGCTGCTGCATCTGCGGCAAGAGCTTCCCCTTCCAGAGCTCGCTGTCGCAGCACATGCGCAAGCACACGGGCGAGAAGCCCTACAAGTGTCCCTACTGCGACCACAGGGCTTCCCAGAAGGGCAACCTGAAGATCCACATCCGCAGCCACCGCACGGGGACTTTGATTCAGGGACACGAGCCGGAGGCGGGCGAGGCGCAGCTGGGCGAGATGCGCGTGTCCGAGGGCCTGGACGCCTGCGCCAGCCCCACGAAGAGCACGTCGGCCTGCAACAGGCTCCTGAACGGGGCGGCGGACGCCGGCAGGGTCCTCAACGGGGCGGCGGCGGACGGCGGCAGGCTCCTGCTGCGGAGCAGGAAGGGCGCGGAGGCGGCGTGCGCGGGGGACGAGGCCAGGGCCGCGGTCCAGTGCTCCTTCTGCAAGAGCCAGTTCGAGCGCAAGAAGGACCTGGAGCTGCACGTGCACCAGGCGCACAAGCCCTTCAAGTGCAGGCTGTGCAGCTACGTGACCCTGCGCGAGGAGTCGCTGCTGAGCCACATCGAGAGGGACCACATCACCGCGCAGGTGCCCAACGGCGGCGAGGCGTGCGCGGAGAACGGCAAGCCCGAGCTGAGCCCCGGCGAGTTCCCCTGCGAGGTGTGCGGCCAGGCCTTCAGCCAGACCTGGTTCCTGAAGGCGCACATGAAGAAGCACAGGGGCTCCTTCGACCACGGCTGCCACATCTGCGGCCGCAGGTTCAAGGAGCCGTGGTTCCTCAAGAACCACATGAAGGCGCACGGCCCCAAGGCGGGGAGCAAGAACCGGCCGCGGAGCGAGCTGGACCTCATCGCCACCATCAACAACGTGGTCCAGGAGGAGGTGATCGTCACCGGCCTGTCCCTCTACGAAGTCTGCACCAAGTGTGGGAACCTGTTTACAAACCTGGACAGCTTGAACGCCCATAACGCCATCCACCGCAGGGTCGAGGCCAGCCGGACGCGGGCCCCGGCCGAGGAGGGGGACGCGGAGGGCCCCTCGGACACCAAGCAGTTCTTCCTACAGTGCCTGAACCTGAGGCCCTCGGCGGCCGGCGACGTGCCCCCCGGCGGGCAGGCCGGAAGGCGGGTGGCGGAGCTGGACCCCGTCAACAGCTACCAGGCCTGGCAGCTGGCCACCAGGGGCAAGGTGGCCGAGCCGGCCGAGTACCTCAAGTACGGGGCCTGGGACGAGGCGCTGGCCGGGGACGTGGCCTTCGACAAGGACAGGCGCGAGTACATCCTGGTGAGCCAGGAGAAGCGCAAGCGCGAGCAGGACGCGCAGGCCACACAGGGCCCCCCCAGGAAGAGGGCGAGCGTGCCGGGGGACCCCATGCTGCCGGGACACCTCGACCCCCGGCCGGCTGCCTCGCGGCCCAGCCGCAGGGCTGCGGCCACCACCGGCCAGGGCAAGTCGTCCGAGTGCTTCGAGTGCGGCAAGATCTTCCGCACCTACCACCAGATGGTGCTGCACTCCCGCGTGCACCGCCGCGCGCGCCGGGACAGGGACGGCGGCGGCGACAGGCCCGCGCGCACGCGCTGCGGCTCGCTCAGCGAGGGCGACTCGGCCTCCCAGCCCAGCAGCCCCAGCTCGGCCTGCGCCACCGCCGACTCCCCAGGTTCCGAAGACAGCGGCGAGGAGGGCGTCCCAGAAGCGGCACCAGGTGAGCAAGCGTACCCAGGTGGCCCTGCTCCAGGTAACCCTGAACCCGAGAGCCTGGGCTAGGGTGGACCACTCTCACCCAGGTGGACCAGCACCCGGGTAACTCCATGCCCAGGTGGCCCTGTGCCCCAGGAACCTTGTGTCCAGGTAGCCCATGCCCGGGTGGCTCTTGCCCAGAGTCCCTGTGCCCAGGTGGCCCCACACCTGGGTGTCTTACCTCCAGCCTGTGCCTAGAGCTTTGTGGGCGGGTTGCAGACTCAGCGCTTTGGGCTCGCTTGCTGATTACCCAGCTGTGTTTGCAGGGATTGGCACCCACGGTCTCTTGAGTCAGTGATGGTCTCTTCTGGACGTCGGTAACTCTGAGCAAAGGATGTGGTCAGGGACCTCTCTGAAATGTGCCCCTCTCTTCCTTTTCTGCCCCACACCCAGGTCTCACCATGTGACATATGCATGTGCACACATATGCACACGTATGCACATACTTCCACACACATGCACACATATGCACATGCACACCACAGGCACACACACGTGGACGTTCCCCAGCTCTCTTCCTCTCTTATACCAGACAGTCGGGTACGCGAGTATCTTCTTATCGGGGTGCAATTATAACTGATCTCCTTGGATTCAAGTAACCCTGTGGGTTTAGAGACAGTTCATTGGAACAGACAACTTTCCAGATAGCAGCTAGGCCCATATTTAGAGATGCCTGACTAACTTTACTTTCATGATTCTTCTGCTTTTTATAAATATTAAGCATTGTGGTATTTCCTTAGGTAGTTTTTGCTTTGGGTAATTGTTTTAAGTGGAAGGTGTTGTTTCAGTTACAGAACTTGTAACTTTCTCCACAAAGCCAGGGGCAATTTTCTCTTCTCCCTGCAAACTGGTTAACAGGTGCTGCTCTTACCTGAGAGCTTAGGACAGGTGGAAACCACAGCCAGGTGCGGGGCTGCTCGTGTTCCGTAGTGAGTAAGGTGACTGTCTCACACTTCTGCAAAACCAGACAGAAATCAGCATTAGTTTTTCCTCGTTAGAGATGTAGCCAAGTGTTTGGAGGCAGGTCTATACATACTGTGTCATATGAGGGTCTCTTACACTCAAATGCACGTTGAATCAACAAAAATGTAGAAAACAAGTCGTTTCTCTGATCCTTGGAGAAACCTGTGCGGAAGCTGCACGCAGCGTCACGCGCTGGCCCTATGTCACTCTCCGGAGGAGCAGAAGGTGGCACTCTCTGAAAACGCTCTGCTCATTCCATGGGCTCTGTGGGACTCTCCTGATAATTTATCATGCAGACCTCACCCACCCGGTATGACGCTTGGTTGGCGTTTTTCAAGTTTCATTCTTGGTTTCCTTTTTTTATTTTTACAACTATAGATTTTGCTGGTTGTGTCCAAGTAGTATTATGACTGCCTTTCTGAGCACACGTTGGATAAAAAATGTTACGCTAGCACTGTATGCTTTTTTCCCCTTTGGAAGAGAAATATTTTAATCTTTGGAAGATCTCCCGGGCTGCACCCCATCCGCTGTGGCGGCCCAGGAATCGATAGATAGACTCGGTGGTGCTTTCCCCGCCAAGAGGATGGAAGGACCAGATTATTTTCATTATAAATTGGAATTTACTCTTCTTTTTTCTTCTTGGGTTCATCAAATTTTAGAGACTACTACTTCTTAAAGACATGGTCTTTATTTTCTCTGTAGGTAACTTATCTTTTGAGAAATTTAATATATGCCTCCGGTGATGCCATGACAAGATTATATATCATTAAACTTAATGAAAAGTTGGCGATAGATTAAATAGGATATCATAACTTACTGAGAAAGGAGAGAAATTTACGACATAACAGAGTCAGGAAATATTGGAGAGCCTTGGAGGTCTACGGGTGGGGGGGGGCGTCACTTTTTGTAATTCCCAAGGACAATATCTTTATACCTAAAAACTCAAACTTTCCTATCATAGCAGGAATCTTTAATGGTCTAGTGTAGCACTAAATTACTGATTCACAGATGTTCCTTAAGGGGAGAGACCATGTTACGTTGATTTAATTACTCTCAAAACACTCTGGTTTGTAGGGTTTGGCTAAGGCCTTTGAAATAGCTACTTTGGGAAAGAAACCGGGTATTTTGGATCCTATGTTTTGATCTGTAGCTTGCCTTATTTTCCTTAAAAAAATGCATAGAACTTTGGAAAATGCACGCCTTTCCTGTGACCAAAAAGATCACACTTAGCTTTTTAAACATTTAAGCTATTTTACATTCTCACAGAACTTTGGCGGGGTGACTGGTAAAATTGTCGGAGCGAGTGTGTTGAAATTTGAGGGACAGAAGACGATAGGGGTTCTCACAAGGACGAGTCAGCCGGCTCACCGCAGCGGAGTTGAAATCAGAGCTCAAGTCTGAGCGACCGTTCTGGTGAATTCCGGCTGTGCCGTAATTTCACCTGAACGCTGGTAGATTTTTTGATATCCAAGAATTGATCTGAATGCTGTTCGTGGATCTAGAAAGAATTGTCATTATTAGATTAACTGAGAGGAATTTTTTTTTTTTTTCATGAAACACGTTTTGTCAGTCGAGTGTCGCCGTGCTTCTTTGGGAAGTTCTGCCGGTCCCGTTCCCGGCAGCCCTCTTCACCGGTGTCCCACGGGAGAGCAGCGCCGCGAATAAGTCAAAAAGTGACTGAGCGTATGTCCCTGAGTAGATTGAAGTTTCCATGGGGAAAGTGACGTAGCACTGATAGGAAATGTGCTTTTTGACTTCATAAAAAATTAACATTTTTAATCCTCGCACTCTGGGAAGCTGAGGAGGCAGGTGGATTGTGCAAGGTCCAGAGTTCGAGACCAGCCTGAGCAAGACCTTATCTCTACTAAAAACAGAAATTAATAGGCCAACTAAAAATATATAGAAAGAATTAGCTGGGCATGGTGGCGCATGCCTGTAGTCCCAGCTACTCGGGGGGCTGAGGCAGGAGGACTGCTTGACTTGAGCCCAGGAGCGTGAGGTTGCTGTGAGCGAGGCTGACGCCACGGCACTCTAGCCCGGGCAGCACAGTGAGACCCTGTCTAAAAAAAAAAAAATTTTTTTTTTAATTAGGGAAGAAGAGAGGTGAAAGGGCACCTAATTGAAGTTTTTAAAAATCGGCATTTCCGAATCCAAAGCAGAATTAGGCAGCTTGGAAGCCGCCACTTAGGAAAAGTGAGTGTTTCTTCACGAGCAAACACAAACCGCAAGAGTATACGGGCCGGAATAGAATTGTGCCCAGACAGCACCCGGGTGACGGATGGATAGCGGAAGCATCCGGAAAAGCCGCGGGCCTCTCTGCCAGGTTTTCTCTGTGTGAGTGGCCGCCGTGGGAGTCGAGCTCGCCGCAGCCGGAGCCCGAGCTGAGCCGGGCATGCGAGCTCCGCGGTGACCGCCCACGCGGCAGGGCATCTGGCGCTTTCTGGGTTGCCGGGTAGCCGGGATAGCGGCGGTCACGGTGTCTGCAGGTGCGTCTGTTGTACCCAGAGCCTTCCACACTGGGGCCCTCGCGTGACAGGCTGGTACTCGCGTGATCAGGGCCGCACATTCCGAGCCTCCCGGGTGAATTTCTCATCCTGCGAAGGACATGCGACTCTGCAGATGGTGCTCGGGCTCCTCCCGTCTCCGGCAGACGCACGCGGGGTGCATGTGCGCAGGGCTCCTGTGAGACAGGCGCGGTGCAGGTGGCGCGGTTTGCTGGGGAGGGTCAAACGCTCGGTTCATTCTCTGCGTCTCTCTCTTGCCACCCAAGATGGAACCATGGCATTTTGGAGGGAAAGGGAGCTAACATTCCTCCTCTGTCCTCCCGTTGTCCCCGTGAGGAAACTGAGGCACAGGGGAGTCTCGGGCTTTGCCCAGTGCAGGAGGTGTGTGTGCCGACGCGGGACTGAGGGACGGTGCGGCGGGTGCAGGCCCCCGGCCTTGGGACCAGGCTCTCGGATTCTCTCGGCCCTGGGAGCCACACGGGTTTCCTCCCGTGGGGTGTGGGGGCCGCTGTCCTCCCCACGCGTCCCGTGTGGGGCCTGGCGCCTGGTGGTACTGGAGTTGGCACCAGAACCGGGGTCCAGAGTGCACAGCGCCCAGCCTGGGAGAGGGTCCCCGAGCGGGCGTGTCCCCGAGCGGGCGTGTCCACGAGGGGCAGGCGTGTCCACGATGGGCAGGCATGCGGCCCCCGATGGCGCCTTCCCGAGTCTGCACCCGTGCCTGCGATGCGGGCGGGCGAGATGCCGCCTCGCTGTGCTGCACTGTGGGGCGCACTGCCTTTCCTTCCTGCCACGTGGAAGTCGCGTGGGGTAAACGCCGGGCGCCTGGTGACTGAAGGCGAAACTTGTGGTGTTTTTGGACTCCAGTGATGAGAGTCCCTAGTGTTTGCAGATTCTGACTGGAGGGAACAGGTTTGCGAACTTTCCCGTCTTCGCTCCGCGTCCTGAGTCTCCTTGCTTCGGCCCTTTCTTGCTCGTCTGGATGTAGCAGTCCCCTTCTGCGGCCGGGGTGGTGCCGGGTACGGTTTCTGGCTCCTTACCTGTGGCTGAGTGTCACCACCGAGACTTGCCAGGAAGAAGCGGCGTTCTTTGGTCTTCCCTGGTTCAGACTTGAGCTTGTTGCTCGCTCCTCCTGACTTGGAAGGGACGGGCTGGTCTTTGTAGATTTCCTCTCTCAGTAGCGAGCAGGAGCGGCCCGAGTTCGTTCTTTCCCCGCTTGCCGTGGGAGACGGCCTCCCGTGGGACTGGGCAGGACCGGGCCACGGAGAGAGGCGTCCTGATTTCTCGCAGAGCTGTGGGACGGACAACTGCAGCCGGCAGCAGCAGCAAGTGCGTGGTCGGGGTTAGGTGTTGTGAGGGACACCCATGCACGTGGAATGGTGGGGCTCCCGGTGGGGTTCCCCATGCACTCCTGCTGCGTGGTTCCGTCGCCCCGAGACGGTGCCGTGTCTCAGAGCTGCCCTGGCGACACTGAGTCGCCCCACGGACACTCACCCACCTG